CGCGGCGCAGTAAGTTGGCAGGAGCGAGTCCCCTCCGTTCTCGCCTCCCCCGCACCTTTTGAACTTGTTGCTGCTGCTCGGCTCGCCTGCGCCTGGCTTTTGGAAGGTGAAAAGGAGGAGGGAGGCGCGGAGGGAGGGGGAAGGGGACGAAGAGCTCGCTCGAGCTTTCTGTATGCTCCCTCGGCGCCTGGATTCGGCTGCACGCGAGCCGCTTCTCTCCTTTTCCCTTTCCGGGTGCACGGCGAGGAGAAAGTCTCTATGCAACTCAGCCCCGGCGCGCACTTGGCCAGGTATGTACCGCGGGCGAGGCGCGTTCTGCGCGGAGGCAGATGCTGCTGCCGCCGCGGCGGCGGCTGCCGCCTGCTCCCGGGCTCAGTAACTGTCACGCTGCACCTGAGCTGAACTTGACGGGAGAGTGAAGGGGCGATTGAGCGAACGCTTGGGCAGACGCCGGGGTGCCTGCAGACCTGCGGGAGGGGAAGAAGCTGAATTCACGCCGCCCACCGTGCCCACCGCCCAGCCCAGCACCTCCATCGCTGCGAATACGGCCCCGAGTTGTCGAGGCGGTGACCGGACTCCCAAAGAGACATGGGGCAGCGGCGCTTGTGACCGCATCTCGGAAGCTACACAACAGGTCGCCTCTTTGAGACTCCTTTGGCGGGAAGGGCCACTTGGAAGAGGAGGGTTTGAAAGAGCCCAGAGGGAAGGTGTAGGGGTTCCCTATTCGTCAAGAGATTACCACAGAGCGACTGTCCCTCGTCTTCTCCATCCTACAAGCCCCACACTGACCCTACACTTTGCAGACGGTCTCGGGGGGGATATCAGAGACACCTGTTTGAAGAACTACTGCGTCTAAAGTCGCGGGTGTAGTTAGCTGCCCTCGGGGTGGCCTGAACCAACTGCTGGGAAAGGTTTGGTTAGGTTCTAGTGAGCCTTGTTGTTAGACATTGTATATTTTATCTATTCACTCCATCATATCTGTGTTGGAGGGAAACTGCCCCTTCAGCAAACTGGGACTTTGCCAGGAACCCTATCTTGGGTGTGCTCTCTGGACCACATTTCAGGGTGACCATTTTTGTTTGAAGGGAGAAAGTGGGTGATTGTGATCGTGGCTACTTTGGTTGACCCCCAGTAGAGACCTCCTCGCTCTTCTTGCCTCCACTTGGAGGAACCATGGCGGCGGGCGTAGCAGCATGGCTGCCCTTTGCAAGGGCAGCGGCCATCGGGTGGATGCCTGTGGCCTCGGGGCCCATGCCAGCTCCCCCGAGGCAGGAAAGGAAGAGGACTCAGGATGCTCTCATTGTGCTGAATGTGAGTGGCACCCGTTTCCAGACATGGCAGGACACCCTGGAACGTTACCCGGACACTCTGCTGGGCAGTTCCGAGCGAGACTTTTTCTACCATCCAGAGACTCAGCAGTATTTTTTTGACCGTGACCCTGACATCTTCCGCCATATCCTCAATTTCTACCGCACGGGGAAGCTCCACTATCCTCGCCATGAATGCATTTCGGCTTATGATGAGGAGTTGGCCTTCTTTGGCCTCATCCCAGAAATCATTGGCGACTGCTGTTATGAGGAATACAAGGACCGCAGGCGGGAGAACGCAGAGCGTCTGCAGGACGACGCGGATACCGATAACACCGGCGAGAGTGCGCTGCCCACCATGACTGCTCGCCAGAGGGTCTGGCGGGCCTTTGAGAACCCCCACACGAGCACCATGGCTCTGGTGTTCTACTATGTCACAGGGTTCTTCATTGCCGTCTCGGTCATCGCGAATGTGGTGGAAACAGTACCCTGTGGATCGAGCCCAGGTCACATTAAAGAACTGCCCTGTGGGGAGCGCTACGCCGTGGCCTTCTTTTGCTTGGATACGGCCTGTGTCATGATCTTCACTGTTGAGTACTTGCTTCGTCTGGCGGCCGCCCCCAGTCGGTACCGCTTTGTGCGCAGCGTTATGAGTATCATCGACGTGGTGGCCATCCTGCCTTACTACATTGGGCTGGTGATGACAGACAATGAGGATGTCAGCGGGGCCTTTGTCACGCTCCGGGTCTTCCGGGTCTTCCGGATCTTTAAGTTTTCCCGACACTCGCAAGGCCTGCGCATCCTGGGGTACACGCTGAAGAGTTGTGCCTCAGAACTGGGCTTCTTGCTCTTCTCGCTCACCATGGCGATCATCATTTTCGCTACAGTGATGTTCTACGCAGAGAAGGGGTCTTCGGCCAGCAAGTTCACCAGCATCCCTGCGGCCTTCTGGTATACCATCGTCACCATGACAACCCTAGGGTAGGTGCCATGGTGGGAAGTGGGATGGAGGTTGGATATGTGAAGTAATTGTGCTCCCATTAAGGTTATATAATAATTCAGAGGAAATAATATTGGTCTCTTCTAAATGGGCTTCGGAAAGCATTATCTAAATGGTTTTGAAGAATTCATTTGATGTATGAGATGGATGTGATCTAGAAATTGAAGTATTTAGGATGCTGCTGGCAGATCTCGAGTGCTGAGGCCTGCAAGAGAGCAATACTCAGAGAAATGTTAGAATTACTGAATATAGGGGAAGAACACCCATATTGTATGTGTGGGGACATAAAAATATAAAGACAATGAGAACTACAAAATGTGTGCCCTAATAAAGCTATGAAAATGCCTAGACTGTGCTTCAGTGTATTCAAATGAAAAGTTTCCTTGTATATGTGACTATTTTCATTTGAATAGCTACTTTTGGCATGCATTCCCTAAGAATCAGAATTCTTGTTTAAAAACACTATTAAGCATAGATTATAGGTATTATTATCAGTGGATTTTATGATACATATGCTTATCTATGCATTCTCATATTGCCTGATAGGTTATGCAGTGGTTTTGATTATCAGGACTCTACAAAATGCACTGGAATCATATTTGCAACATATTTAAGATTCTGATTTCATAGTTTCATATAAAAAAGCAAGTAACTGTCATATTTTTTTAAATAGAAACTACAGATCCCATCAGGCAATGGGCAATGACTATCAAATACACACAGACAGCAAAGTAGTATCTCTTGAGACTGATGGCCACCAAGGGCTGTTGCATTATAGAATTCTGGGTACTCGCCTTCTTCCAGAATTCTTTTGTGTAGTCTTTTATTTGGGAGTAAAGGTGTTTTGCAAGCAAAGGGACATGCCCTAAATTAATGTTTTCTAAAAAAAATAATTTTAAACAAAAGATATTTTTTAATATAGTCAAAAAAAGAAAAGGTATGAAATAATTAACAGTCCCACTCAAATTGTAGTAAAGTAGCAGCATTTACATCCCAGAGAATCTAAAAAAAAAAAAAAAATGGTCAGAGCTTTTTACTCTTATGAGTTCTCAGATAAGCCAAGTAGTGATGCTGGTGCCTTATCTTCAGTTTTATGCTGCTTTTCTTGCATAGTTAATCAGTTCAATAAGGGTTTGGTAGTAGCTGTAAGAAAAAAGTTATTCCCAAGGCTGATTTTTCCAAGTTTTGTGTTTCTGGATAATTTAATTGCCTTCTTTAAATGATAATGTGGTTAAAGTCAACTTAATTTTATTAGGCATCATGTTGAAGAGAATTTCTCATATCATATGGCCAACTAATAGAATATTTTATATATGAAGAATTGTTGGTTAAGTTAATTGAGAGATTAGGGTGAAATGCAATAACTTATGATTTTGATTTGGTCTCACTTAGCTTTTGAATTTATGAACTAAGGTCCACATTCTTCTGTTTAATATTTCTCTTTTATCCTGTTGCTAATTTGTGATCTGTATTGAAGATTCAGAATACCTTGGTAGTAAAGGTGTTTATGTTTATTTCTTATCAGAGAGGTATATGTGCATGCTGTGGGGTTTCTTGCCATTTGATATATTTACCAAGAGCATTTGGATAGTGCAAATGCTTAGGGCTTCAAATTAGTTGTAAACATGAATAGAAAAAGGGCTCGTTCAGTGCTAAGAGAAAACGAAGGAAGCAATATTAAGGAAATATATTTTAAAAGCTTGGTTTCAAAGGCAGTGATATTCATGAAATATAAGTGAGTTCATTTATTACTGTATACTTTCTATGATTTAATATAGTTATTATTATAATGAATGTTGATAAAATGCTGTTTCTTCTAGTTAGAAGTCCTGGTCAGTATATGAGAAGTTAGTATTATTTAAAAATTTGTTTCCTAAAATGACCATCAACGTTTTGTTTTAAAATTGATTTTTGAATTGGAAGATTTTAGTGGTACCTTTTGTTATATACATGTTTATAAGGATCTATTTTTTGAATGAGTTAAGAAACTGAATCATAATGCCTGAGTATAATTTATGAAATTGATTTAGTTCACATGTTCAGTATGTAAGTGGATTAGAAGAATTAAATACACTTTCGTAGTTACTTTTTAGACATAAGTTCCACTGAAGTTGAAAATTTTAATTTTCAGGAAATTAAGCTAGTTAATGATCCTGATGGAATATAGCAGTTATACTTTGAATATGTAGAAATGTTGATGCATTCAAAATGCAATTCATTTATTGGAGAATATATATGAACATTTAATAAAGCATATATTTTATAATGTAGCAGTGTTTCTTATGAAAATCTCTTCAGTTTCTCATCAAAATGTTTTCTAAGCTTGTTTTTCTTTGAGAATTCGATTTTTCAACAACCTGCCTTTCTTCTATCTTGTTGCACTGAGCTTAATAGCTTTTTTTTTAAAGAATCAAATATACTCAAAAAAAGTTACTGCCTAATTTATTCTTTGTTTAAATTGTAGTTTTATATTTATAGGATGAAGTGTGAGGTGTAAACGTTCTTGAAAATATGCCCTAATGGAGCCAATATCAAACTTTGGTAGATGTCCAAGAATTCCTTATTACACTTTCTGAGATTTTCCTTTGTACCTGACTTTTATGTTTAATAGAGCTAATGCTCATCACCTGATGATAGTAGAAGTGAAAATAAAATTCAAAAACAGTGGTTAATGAAAATCGCAACTGATTCATTGTCTACTCCAGAAGACATAGGTGTGTGCTTTGTAATTCAGGACTGGCAGGGTTATCTGCGCTCTCAGGGCATTTTTATAATAGTTGATTCTTTGATTTAAAGTCATGAGTGGGTCGAGCATTGATCATTTTTGTGTTCTCTACAGTAGCAGATATTATAGTTTGACTTGATCGTACTTTTTATATAAGTAGTTATTTAATTTTCTGGTAAAATATCCATCCATATGAAGTCTATCCTTTCTTTGTGAGCATGTTTATCAACCTGCATTGCATTGGGAATCTGATTCCTCCTCTGCCTTTCCATGCTCCCCTCCCCCACCCTCCATTCCCTACTTCTGTAATGAAAACTCTAATCACAGCCTTAAACTACTTTTGGAAAAAAAGAACCTGGAAATCCTCTTTTGTCCTTACGACCTGACCTTTGAAAGATACTATCATTCAGGTGGTGTAGTTAAATGTTATGTTACCAAATTTGGTAAATTTTACATGTTTACCAATAATGAAAAACAATCTTGTAAAAATATAATTAGCAAATACTAGCTTCAGTTTACCTCAGGCTCATGACTTGGGAGTTACCAGCGGTACCAGGTACATGCTGAATAATTTGAGAAATTATTTGCAGAGATCATATTACATAAAACATAAAACTTAAAAACTTGAGCAGTGTCTTCTCTGTGACCCAGGTCACTTTAATTTTAAAACAAAGTTGTTTTAGTTATGGGGAAGAAAGTTACCACATGGCATTTCTGTAAAGTTCACATTTAAGATGAAGCTTTATGCTTTTAACTATATAAATCATGTTATCTCTAAATTTTTAAAAAGTCCACTTATAGTGCACATGCACTGGAAATAAATATGGTAAAATCATATTTATGCTTCAAAATTATTGTAATATTCTATTTGTGAGACTTTTGAAACTAGTTTGTGAGACTTTTGAAACTAGTTCTATAGTATTTCAGTTATAATGCATTTCATAAATTGCCTTATTTAAAAAAGGGAACGGTAGCTTTTTTAAACTGATTTCCTGACACTGTATCAGGGAAATTCCTTTAAAAAAAAAAAAAAAAAACTTGGTTTATCCAACTATTAGTGAAAGTGAGTGGAATTATTTTTCCCTGTGTGAGCATATGTAGGTAAATCATGCAGAATAACTTGGCTCTATACTTATTTTATTTGTATAATTACTTCATTTTAATTATGATGTCATGTATTTTGTATTTGCATAAGCTTTTCCCCCAATTATGCTCACCTTTGAAAATGAGTTAATGAGCTTCAAATTTTTTGTTACTTATGTTTTGAATTCCTGTTGGAAAAACCTTAGTTATTATTCCTTTAAAACCCATCGCCCTAAAAATGTCATATTTTAGTGGTTTGACTACAGTTATAATGTTAAAAGGTAGTGGTAGCTTTTGAAATTTCATTGCTTAACAAATCTCCCCCCCCCCCCAAGACCTTTCAAGGCATTTGCTAGGTGCATATGAGAAGTATCTTGGCCTTGTTGATGTCATAGGAATGTGAGGAAGGACTCTGCTCTACATTCCATTAATGTAGTGCTTTTATACTCACCCCACATTGTTTCTTGTTCTGCATTTATTCACGTAGTACTCGAAAGTCCATTATGATGCGGTTGATACGGCACAACTATATGTTCTCACCTAAAAACTGCTAGGCCATTTGGGGACAAACTCCTTGATGACAAGTAGTTTACCTAATCTGACAGAGAGGAAAATAAATGATCTACTTTGCCTGAATTACCAAAAGAAGAGTTGACTTGTGGATTGCTAACACCATGCGATTTAACTTCTTTTTCATGGAAAGAACACGGATGGTGAATACAAAGTTCATAGAAAACGGAGTATTATTTTCCTTCAAAGTTGTAATAGTCATTCCCCCACCCATAGCACCATATGTCTGAGAATAACTTTATATATGTGTGTATGTGTGAGAGAGAGGAAAAGGAGAGAGAGACTGAAGAAAGAAATAAGCATTGTTTTCCCACTTGTTTTGGCGGCTAGATTTAGAGTTGATGGTGGGGATATAAAAAAATCCCAGTGGTGAAATAGCATGTCTTCATTTCTATGTACTTTGCTCTGTTCCTTGCTTTAATGGATTCCATTGGAAATTGTTGTCCTTTAGGTTTCTCCTTGGATTGATCTTCTTTTTCCATGAAGTTTTCTCAACCTCCCAAACCTATAGCATCTATAGTTGAAATTTCCATTGCCATTAATGAATTCTGTTGTATATAGAATTCTGGTTTCATTCCTTGCCTTCCTAACTAAATTGAAAGG